GTTGAATCATTGAATATGCTAATATTTTGGTTGAACTGTAAACTGACTTCAAACGAGCTGACTTAACATTCTATAAAACCATATGCCTAAATATCTTTGAAGCAATTTCATCTATAATTGGAGCATGCATTAACAGTTTGATCCCAGTAAAAACAGATGATAACAGAAACAACTTCCTGACAGTTTAACTTACAGGAGAACAATGTAATAACCTTTTTTACACCCTGAGACTACGCATAAGAGGTTATGATGTGGATCATAGTGGGTACTCGATCGAGCTTCTGCAGAATTCATCCAAAAGTTGATAGAAGACAGTGACTTCCCCCCTAAAAGTGTGGGCTGCATCAATTCAGATAGTTGACGTTAAGAAAGTTTTCATGTAAGCAGCTCCGGTATAAACAAGAGTTGCAGGAACTATGCATACCATCTGAATGTCTTGTCTCAAAATCTTGAGTTGAACCTTGTTTTCTTTCTCATCATTCAGAATTGGAAACTGGATACATATATACGTATGTCAAACACAAGGGGTAAATAATCTAAATCAAGTAGATTTTCTGAAATGATAGAATCATTGCAAGATTTGATGCGAAGAGCAAAATCATATCAATACACCAGAAGCACAAAGACAAAAAGTTGATTATCATCTGAACCTGTGCTAGGTATATTTGTCCAGGTACATGGTCCTCCTCAGGCATCGGGCAATTAGGCATAGGAGTTAAACATGAAGACTTAGCCTCAACAACGGAACCATTCCTTTTGCTTCTCAAATGCTGCTTGCAGAATCCGACAAAATCCGAGAAGGGCAATGATACCTGCAGGACAACAAAAAACATATGTAAACTGTTGTGGTGGATGCAAGAAAGCTATTTTAAAAGCAGAACCCAGAAACAATTCAATGTCAAATCAGCTAATTTCCTGCTAAGAATCTGACAACAACAATATTGTCTAATTCAAGGGACTAGCCATTCAAGAACCGAGAAATGGAGTTTTACCCTCTCATGGCTTCTGATATCACCATTGAAAACCGGAGCAGTCCTTGAAAGCATAGCCTCCACTTCAATTGAACCGGCACGTTGCTTCATACAATCCAATCGACGCATAAGATTTCGCTCAGTCTTCGACTCGAGAAAAAAAAGATATGGAAAATTCGAATCAAGTGAGAAGTAAGGAAACACCTCAAGATAATCGAGGCCATTGTTGAATGGATTCCATTTAAAAAAGGCGTCCCAGTCACTAGCACATCCTCGGAAAACCTTCAGAAGAAGAGAGGCAAATACGAATCAAATCATTTATATAAGAGAATCAATCAGATTCACCGGAAGAAAGAAAGAGAGGTGTTCAATACTGCAGGGAAGTTGGTGAGCTCGACGGTGGACTCAAAGTCGGCGGCAGAAGGAGCACTCTCGAAGGTTTTAATCGTCGGAAATTCGCATCCCGTCGACATCACCGGCGCTGGAGATTTGTCAAAAACTCTAAAGTCATATACGTACCGGAATCGCGATTCCCAGAAAGTGAGGTTTGGAATCGCTGTGGAAACGCACGATTCGGAGTTGGAAGCGGATTGTTCGAGATTGGAAGCGTCAAATCTCGTCGTCGGCCGTGTCTCAAGGAAGAAGATTAAGACATCTGAATCTTTTGTAGGCTTAATAATTTATTTGGGCCCAAATTTATTTAGATTATTAGGCCCATTTGTTTTTAGTCATTAATAAAAAATAATTGTAAAATACTAATAACTCAAAAACGTGAATAAGAAAATAGAAACAAAAGTAATTCCAAATTGATCAAATTGACTTTCTTAGCATTCGTTTTACTTTCATCTTTTGTCTAACTATAGACATATTGAATCGATCTTGAATTTTACAAAAAAAATTAAATTGGATAGTATTTTACTTTTGTTTGAATGTGATAAAAAAAATAAGTTGTTCGAATGTGATAAAAAAAATAAATTGTTCGAACATTACGATTTTCATCTTCAATTTAGTAAAACCTATTTAAATAACTTTTAATATGATTTTATATATGGATTT